AAAGCCATAACTACCCGAAAAAAATCGGAGAAATCAAAACCAAAAAACTTGAAAAATTTTTAATTAATTTGTAAAATTAGACAATTGAAATCTGATATGAATTAAAACCATAACCAAAATCAAACCCAGAACCTCCCCCCTCTCCCTCATTAAAAAACCACAACCGGAACGACCTGAAACCAGAACAAGAAACCTCCAAATCCAGAAGTACATGTAATATAATTTAGAATTACCGATCTAAAACCAAAAGTAAAATCAATCGCGAAATCAAAACCGCAACCAAAGCCAATAAGGTAAACTACCAGCTTGGGATCATACATCAGTTGTAGGTCAACAGATTTTAAAATGGAAAAAATTAAGTTTAAAAAAAAGTTAGAGGCGGGAATTGAAAGTTCAGTGTATTCTGGATATTCTGATCTGTGAATGAAATTTATGCAATGTTTTCAGATCCTGCTATGATTTTTCAAAGTTAAAAACACATTTTTATAAAAATTGAGATTTTTAGAATTTGGAAAAGTACAAAAAAAATTAGTACCTAATCAAATTCGAATTATTTTTTGGGCTGATAGGTATATTTTGACGTACGGAGCACATTTTAAGTGATTTCAAAAGTTTCTATTGCCTCCTGTAGCCTGTGTCAGGTTCTCTAACCCACATTCGAGAGGGTCTTCTAATTTGGATTTTTCAGACGTCTTTTCAAAACCTCATATTTCAAGGCTGATAAAGCCAAACTCGATCCTACTAATACGATTTGTAATCAAAGGTTCACCCTTCAATTTGACATGAAAATCAATTTATTAAAACCATTAGGGTTTACTCTATCGTCATTTTCGCAAAACCTGATCCAAAACTGGTAATTTACCTTATTCTTTCTGGTTAGCATCAGTACTTCTCGAGGAATAGATAAATGAGATAAATTAAAAGTTCTCGATCTTGAAGAAAGGATCCCAAATACGTCAAAAACTTCCAAAAGCCCGATTGATATTCAGAATTCGTCGTTGATGAGTCGACTTTTTAAATACCTGCAAGAGCAGCTGATACATAAGCTGTTACAGAATAAGTTAGACTATTGCCGGATTTAACCCATGCACAGGAATCAAGTGAGTCATTATTTGACCGTATCTGAGTTATTACATTCTGAATAGGATTATTTGAACGATTTCCGCCTCTTGCCCAACCCTGAACCACACAATTCCTGTGAATCGAAAGTACAAGTCACTGGGAATCAAATGATAGAAGCGGAGATATGACGTTTTTAACTTGACCATATCGGCGTTGACAGTTTTTTTTCCAAAGGCTTCTAGGACAACTTTTTATCTGTTTTAAAACACCCCTCTCAGCTTTCAGCGAATGAATTTGGTCGAGTGATGGCTCATTTGATTCCTAAAGCCCTGTTCACAAACAAAAACGTAACGCATAAGACTTAAGACTTAAGACATAAAAAATTGTTAAGTCAAGAGAGCGTTCACAAAACAGACGTAGACTTAAGGATTGATAAGAAATATGTCTGCAGCATAATAAATTGAACTTCATCAACCGAGCAAAAATGCTGCAGGTAAACGTAGTAAACAAACCTGTTCTGAATTCCCATTGGCTGATTCTTACGTAGCTGTGGTGTCAACCGATACGTTATTGTTATGCGTTATGTAGGTGTGTGAACGGTAGTGTGTTAACGCATATGGAAGTAGGGTAAGTCTTAAGTCTTATGCGTTACGTTAGAGCTTGTGAACAGGGCTTAATGAGTTATTCTTTTAATTTGATGAGAGGGGTGTGAGGAACAAGAATAGGAGGCAGGCAAAATCTGGTAATGGTCCAACTTATTCTGAGGCAGCCTCTATGTATCTTATGATATTTCTACGAGTTTCTCCACTTAGCCCGAGAACGTAGTTTAACCTCAGGTACAAGTAGGTATCGAGTATCGAGAAGGTATAAAGTGACGATGATTTTATAGAATTTAATGTCCTAGGTTTGTTCTTCGAATCCCACTCATCACGGAAAAGGCGAATCGTATTCAAACATCCTTTAAAAGCCGTCCCAGCGACGTGTCGCTCACACCGAACACCTTTACGCACAAAATTAGGATGAATTGTCACTTGTGGCGACTTTTTAAACCACTTAAGGCCGCGTCGGAGATTCGGTTCTCCGTAACCTATCATTTCTTCTGACGAATAGAAAATACCGACTGAGGGCCAAAGTGACAAAAAAAAAAATCCGAGATGGAATGCATTAGCGTCGAATACGCCCTCGATCGTATAGGCGATGTTATTAAATATGACAGCGGAGGGAAGGAGAAATTACGTATACGGTATATACTCCTAATTTCGAATAGATCCGAAACGATAAAAGCGTGTGGTACCGAGTACCAACTACAAACTACGAACACCGAGTCCATTTACGGAGGCGTTTATTCGACGCCCAATAACTCAAACTCGGTCATTTTCTAAAAATAAAAAGTCACCCTTTTAGATTTATCAATTTTTTATTCGCTCGATGCTTATCAGCCGCCGTGGTCCGGCCCACGTTTTTAAAAATAAAAATCGTTTTCGAAGAGAACGCGCATTTTTG